CATTGCAGTGGTTTTTGTCATACATTGAAATGAATTAGCCATGGATTTACATGTATTCCCCATCCCGGTCCCCCCTCCCACCTCCCTCTCCATCCCATCCCTCTGGGTCTTCCCAGTGCACCAGGCCTGAGCACTTGTCTCATGCATCCAACCTGGGCTAGTGATCTGTTTCACCCTTGATTGTATACTTGTTTCAATGTTGTTCTCTCAGAACATCCCACCCTTGCCTTCTCCCATATATGCAAAACAGAAAAAGAGACACAGATGTACAGAACAGACTTTTAGACTTGATACATAGAATTTAAGAATCAGGTTTGGAATTATCTTGTATTTATTGAGAGGTAGCATCTTATATTGGAGCTTCCCTGGTAGCTCAGCTGGTAAAGAATCTGCCTACAATGCAGGAGATCCCAGTTCTATTCCTGGGTTGGGAAGATCGGCTGCAGAAGGGATAGGCTACCCACTCCAGTCTTCTTGGGCTTCCCTTGTGGCTCAGCTGGTAAAGAATCCACCTGCACTGTGGGAGACCTGGGTCTTATATATTAAGCATCTTATATTAAGTCATAATTGTGAAATGGTAGGGTATACTGGGAAAATTCTGGGTTTTTCCTTAATGGGCTCTGACCTTAATTCTGAGTCTCATTATTTACCATCTTTTTGATGTTGAGTATTTCTGAAGTTGAATCTTGACTTTTTTGTCCAAAATGGGGATAACAGTAGTCACATCTCAAGACCATTTTGAAAACTAAATGGCATAACATATGTAAAACATATAACACAGTCCATGAAATCACTTTAAAAATGTGTTTGCATCATTCAGAAAAGCCAAGATATAGAAACAATCTTATGTCTGTCCATGGATAAATGAATAAAGAATATGTGGCACACATACACAATGGAATATTATTAATCTAAAAAAATAAGAACATCCTGCCATTTGTGAAAACATGGATGGACTTTGAGGATAATATGCTAAATGAAATAAGTCAGACACAGAAAGACAAATACTGTGTGATTTCACTTATATGTGGCATCTAAAAAGGTCAAACTCAGAGAAACAACTTCAGCAGAAGCTCCAATACTTTGGCTACCTGATGCAAAGAGCTGACTCTTTGGAAAAGATGCTGATGCTGGGAAAGATTGAAGGCAGGAGGAGAAAGAAACGACAGAGAACAAGATGGTAGGATGGCATCACTGACTCAAAGATGTCAATGTCTCAATGACATTGAGTCAATGACTCCAATGATTCCATGATGTCCAATGACTCAATGGACATGAGTTTGAGCAAGCTCCAGGAGATAGTGAAGGAGAAGGAAACCTGGCATGCTGCAGTCCATGGGGTCACAAAGAATCGGACATGACTTAGTGACTGAACAACAACAAATTGTAGAATTGTAGTTACAAGGGATTGGGGGTGGGGCATGGAGAGATATTGGAAAAGGGTACAGAATTCCAGTTATAAGATTAGCAAGTTTGGGCACCTAATGTAGAGTATGGTGATTATAGCTAATAATACTGTATCATACAAATATTTGAATATTTCTAAGAAACTATCAATAGATCTTAAATGCTGTCATCACAAAAAAGAAATGGTTATTATGTGATATGCTGGAGGTGGTAACTAATGCTATGGTGACAATAATTTTGCAACATATAAATGGATCAAATCAGCATACTGCACATCTTAAACTTACACATGTGTCAAAATAATATCTGAATAAAGCTGGAAATGGGGGTTCCCTGGCAGTCCAGTGGTTAGTACTCTGTGCTTCCACTGTGGGGAGCACAGTTTGATCCCTGATTGGGAAACTAAGATCCCGCAGGCCATGCATCACAGTCAAATAAAACTTTTTTTTTAATTTAAAACATAAGCTGGAAAACAATGTTTTTCTCCTCTGGTCTACTAATGTACTGTGTTATCTCTAAAGCATATCCGGTATTCAAAACAGTTGTATCTTATATGCTGCTGCTGCGGTTTAGTCGCTAAGTCGTGTCTGACTCTTTTGTGAGCCCGTGCTATTCAACTTTAATCTTGTTGCATGCATGCTTAGTCATCTCTGACTCTTGGCAACCCCATGGACTGTAGCCTGCCAGGTCCTCTGTCCGTGGGATTTCCCAGACAAGAATATGGGAGTGGGTTGCCATTTCCTTCTCTAAGAGGTCTCCTCCTATAAAATATGTTAATGTACATCTATATTTGCATTCCTCTCCGAGCATTCACCTGTCACAAAACGTGTCCCCAGGGTAATGAGGCTTGACTGTGCCCTTACCTGTCAGGGCTTTCATCAAGGTGTGGATGCAAGTGGTCTTCCCAGCTCCACTTGGCCCTAGGGTCATCATTCCATGCCGCACTCTCTGGGTTTCAAACAGCTGGATGACTTTCAATTTCCAAGGAGGATGGTTGATTAAACCAGCTTCTTCAACCTGAAAATAAAACAAAATCCCCACATAAACAGCAATCAGGACTTATCGTTGTGTTCAAAATAAGTACAGACACGGAGCAAGGTTAGAGGTATGGGGAGTTATTATTAATACATATGACGTGCCAGTTTGGAAAGATAGAAAAAGTTCTGAAGGCCAACAGTAGTGATGTTTGCACAATACAATGAATGCATTTAATACCACTGAGCTGTACACTTAAGAAGTAGTTTAAAAGGTATATTTATGTAATGAGTTTTACCACAATAGAAAATATATACACCTAGACAAAAAGCAGGCTGAACATAATCAAAATGATATCCCAACCTAATCCGTATCTGACTTAGGGAATTACAAACACTTATATTTACATGAATGTACACATTAGGAGCAACTGAAAAACAAAGGCTCAAATAGCAAAATTATTTTAGATGTTTCATTTAGAAGATAATATTTAGGATAAAAGATCATTTCAAGCATACCAAGTTGACTGAAATTCCATACAAATACCAAGCCATCTTTGTAAGTCTAATGGATAGTTTTTATCCATCAAACAGATATATGGAAGCTACTCTGTGAAACACTATTCTAAATTTAATTTCTCTGAGCTTAGTACAAATGATATCTTCATTTTACAGACAAGGAAACTGAGACACAAAGAGACTAAGTAATTTACCCAAGATTATTTGTTGTAAAGTTATGGAGTAAGGATCTGACCCCAAGATTCAGTACTATGGTTCATGCTCATCACCGTCATGCTATGCTTAAATTAACTATAAATGACACTATTATTTTTACTTAAATAATTTTTGGATACTACTTATGTATTATTTTATGCTATCTATCGACTCTTCAGATTTCTCATATGCTACAAATTACAAATGTAAGTCATTTTATAAATTAACTTATACTTAGCATTTTTAGGCAATGCTACAATTAAGTTGGCCATATGATGAAGAAGCCATTTGCAAAATGAATTATAACTTTTACCTGATTGGGAGATTAAGATTTTTATACACTGATTTTTAAAAGGAAAGTCTCCATAAAATACTACTATATTTAATTTTTATTACAAATTCATTCAAGGAATTGAAATGCATTTTATAAATATGAGCCAGTCATCATTTCTATAAAGCTTTTTTTTTCCAAACGCTTTTTCATAGGAAAGGAAATTGAGGCACAAGATTTTCATGATTCATTTCCATTCCTAGGAAGATTATAGGGCTTCCCAGGAGGTGCTAGTGGTAACGAACCCGCCCGCCAATGCAGATGTAAGGGACACAGTCTGCTCCCTAGGGGGATATCTCCTGGAGGTGGCCATGGCAACCCACTCCAGTAATGGGCTGGAATCCCATGGACAGAGAAGCCTGGTGGGCTATAGTTCCTAGAGTCACAAGAGTTGGAGATAACTGAAGTGGCTTAGCACAGCACAGCACGGGAAGATGATTAAAAGTTAAAGCTGCACCAAGTATCATGGGGAATCCAGACACCTCATGATACACTTAACATGATGGATCCCCCAGAGCCCAAGGAAGAAATCACAAGTGATCCTTGGCCTGGGGAGAAAGAGGGACAGCGAAGCAGCCACACGCGATCACTCCAAATGACTCTCGGTAGCAGGAGTCAGGACACCAAAGCAAGATGATAAACAAACACCAGAGCTGCAGAGAGAACCAAGCCTGGCACAGGTAAGGCAGCAGGCCGCACCCCACCGGCCCATGCTGACCCATTGCTTGTCATTGGGAATCTGGTGTGGAACGGTCTCCATCAGCAACACTGCCACCAGCACATGGCTAACTGTGGTCGAATGACATTAGGAGGCCCCCTGGCAGGAAAAACTCTATTAATGGCATGCAATGGCTTCTCCTAAACCTGTAGTCACAGCCTTGGTGTTGTTCTCAGAATCTGTAGATTTAGACCACACCAGCTCCACTTGATTCTCATGAAATTCAGATGACAGGAACACATAGTTTGAGGTCCTGTGAAACATGTTACCTGTCTACTAATTGCCGTTTCCAGTTCAGGGTAACCCGCCTTGTCCAGAAGAATATTTGGGAAGAGATCTTCAATCAAACTCAAAAACAAAGGTTCATCCTCATCAATCTCAAAAAGAAAAGAAAGGAAATCAGACCAACTCTTTTGACACAAGCACAGAAATATTAGGCAAACTGAAAATGAGTAACTCATTTCAGATTACTTTATCATAGCTAGTAATAAATAAAATACCTCCACTGAAGTTGAGAAATATTTTCATCATGTTTCCCATGCATTAAAAATTAGTTTTTAAAAGGGAGGGAGGGTAGAGGAGAAGACGGGAAAAAAGGAAGAAAATAGAAGGAAAGAAAATACTGCCTATGTGACAACTTTCTGTAAAACAACCAGTTTAGGGAGTTACTACATAACCTACAATTTCTCATTTAAATGAAAAAGAATTTATCAAGTTAAACAGTGGCAAATTCATGAAATGAAATTTGTTTAGTTCATACTTTTACTTTGGAAAAATATATCATCCATATAGATATAGATTCACTGTATATAGATTCACTGATAACCAGATGACTGATTGTCAGTCTCAACTGTGAAGTCAAAGAATGTGAAATTTTACACACTTGCAAAATCTTACATACAATTTCCTGCCAAAGTCTACTTTTAAAAAGGTGAGATTATAGCTCTAAAACACAAAAATTTCGAGATATCTGGAAACTTAAGATGTAGATTTTTTTAAAATCCATTTTCATTCTACTGGAATAGACATGTGTTAGACTAGATATGAGTCACCACAGAAATTACTTCTGAAAAAAATGTAATTTAAAGTCATGCTCTATGAAATTTAAAGTGCTTCATCTGATAATTAAGCATTTTAAATGAGCTCTTTAAATAAATATTTCTAAATCTCATTTGCGCTTAAACTGAAATTTAAGCGGGTGGAACAGCTCCATCTGTGAACCTCACCAGTTTGGAAAGATTCATATCTCGCAGCACACGCATGACGATCGTGGACTCCGTATCCGTGGGGCTGGCTCTTTTGGCTGCTCCCAGGGTTCGCAGAACTGACAGAATATTACGCAGACCAAAGTCATAATGTACCTGAAGAATATGAAGAACACTGGGCTTAATTTCAAAATTAAGTTACCCATGGCAACTGTACAAATTTGACAGAGGCATAATGAATAAATGCTGATTTTCCTTTTGAACACATGTACAGTTAGTGGAGCAATAAATCTTTTTAATCAATAACTTTTTAGGAAATGGAGAATACCCAAAAGAGCCCACTCCCCTGTGTCATCACTAATTTAAGCCCTTAGATCATAAAACTATTGATAATACACAGATCTTGACAGGGAGAAAGGAGTAAACTTCTTCATGGAATATACAGGTTCCCTTAAGCCAATTATCCACAAGAAAACGTCCTCATTCTCGAAAACTAAAATTTTGAACCAGAATTAAACTGTGACCTCGCTCATGACCATCATATAAGGTTAAAAGATAAAATATCAAAGAGGGGAATGGGGTAACAATAAGGACAAATTGGAAAGCCAAGCCCCCAGCTTTGTTAACCTCTTGAAATATATTTATAAAAGCTCAATCAAACAAAATTTTAGCACATATAAAGCAAATAATTAAAAAACAATTCTCCAACTACCATAGGAAACAGTATCTCTGGCAGTTACTCAAACTTCTTTAAATAAAACCAACATAGGATCCAACAACCCCACTTCAGGGACTATATCCCAAAGAACTGAAAGCAGAGCCTCAAAAATATATTTGCACACCCGTGTTCATAGCAACACTATTCACAACAGCCAAAAGGTGGGAGCAACCCAAAGGCCCATTGGCAGATGAATGGATAAACAAAACGTAGCATATATGGAAACTGGAATGATATTCAATCATAAAAAGGAAGCAAGTACTATCACATGCTATACCATGAATGAAACTTGAGGACATTATACTAAGTTAAATAAGCCAGTCACAAAAAGACAAATACTTGTGGTTCCATTTGTATAAGGTATCTAAAGCAGGCAAATTCATAGAAACAGAAAGTTCAATGATGGTTACCAGGGAACAAAGGGAAGGAGAGAGTGGAGTTTTTTAATGGGTATAGAGTTTCCACTTTGCAGGAGAAAAAAGCTATGGAGGTCTGTTTCACAACACCACTGAACTGTACACTCAAAAATGGTTAGGAGGATAAGCTAATGTTATATTTTTTATTGTTGTTCAGTTGCTAATTCGTATCTGACTCTCTGCAACCCCATGGACTGGAGCACATCAGGCTCCTCTATCCTCCACTATCTCCTGGAGTTTGCCCAAATTCATGCCCATTGAGACGGTGATGCTATCTAACCACCTCATCCTCTGCTGCCCCCATTGCCTTTTGCCTTCAATGACTATATTTGTAATCATAATTTATAAAAACCTACAGAAAAAAATTATCTGCCAATTGGAAGCTGCATGCATCACTTAATACCAATCATTTGATGGATAGGGCACATAAAAATATTCAGATTGAGTTTCTGCCTTCAAGGAGTTTAAGTTCTAATCTTCAGTAAAATAGAAACATAAGCAAGCTTGCATAAAAGTACCAATGACTTGAAATTGTTGGTGGGTGGAATTAATTTTAAAAAGTTTTCCATAATTAGACTCAGTTAAATATGTGGGCACGGAGCAAGATTCCCAGGCTATTGATCAAGGGATCAGCATGGGGCCAATTGTTTACTACACATGGACTCGTATCCTTTCCCAGTGACCTTGTGAACAAGAGCAATAGGAGTGAAGGAAACAGATGTGAAATTAGAGAAGAGGGCAGGAGTTAGTGATGTGGGAGTTTCTCTACATACAAGATACAGCACAGAAAGAAGACAGAGTGAAGGGGACTTCCCAGTTGGCACAAGAGTAAAGAATCCATTTTCCAATGCAGGAGACTCAGGTTAGATCCCTGGGTTGGAAAGATCTGCTGGAGTAGGAAATGGCAACCAACTCCAGTATTCTTGCAGGAGAAGGCCCACGGACAAAGGAGTCTGGTGGGCTACAGTCCATGGTGTTGCAAAGAGTCAGACATGATTGAGTGGCTGAGAACAAGCAAAAGAAACTAAGAACGTTTTGAGTGAGAATTGAATTTAGCTGAGTCTGTGGGTGTAAGAAATAATTTAGATTCAAAGAAGCTTGAACTAGAGGTTCCTCAAAACCATGAGGACACACAACACTTTATGATAAATGTGTAGGTGGAATAAAGAGCACACATCAATATGCATATTTCTTTGGCTCTTAAATCAATTCAGATAGTATTCACTTCATTTCTATGCTATAAATGTTCATTTCTTCAAGTGTACTTAATAAAACTATACACGAAAAATCATTTTTGCAATGATACCCTTTTCTACCTTATACCAGGGAGATACTTTCTCCACAACCAGTCTATAATTTTCTTGTTTTTCTAATTTTTATTTTATAGTGGAGTATAGTTGATTTACAATATTGTGTTAGTTTCAGGTATCCAGCAAAGTAATTCAGTTTTATATATATACATGTATCTATTCTTTTTCAGATTCTTTTCCCATATAGCTTATTACAGAATATTGACTGGGCTCCCTGTGATATACAGCAGGTCCTTATTAGTTATCTCTTTTTCTATACAGTAGTATGTATATGCTAATTCCAAACTCTTAAGGTATCCTTCCCCCCACTGTTTCCCTTTAATTACCATAAATTTGTTTTCTACATCTGTTAAGTCTGTTTCTACCTTATGAATATGTTCATTTGTGTAATTTTTTAGATTCCACATATAAGCGATATCATACAATATTTGTCTTTCTCTCTCTGACCTAACAGTTCAGTCATCTCTAGGTCCATCCATGTTGCTGTGAAGGACATTATTTCATTCTTTCTTATGACTGAACACCTAGTTCTGCTTCATTGATGAGGCTAAAGCCTTTGCCTGTGCAGATCACCACAAACTGTGGGAAGTTCTTAAAGAGATGGAAATACCAGACTACCTTCCCTGCCTCCTGCGAAACCTGTATGCAGGTCAAGAAGCAACAGTTAGAATCGGACATGGAAAAATGGACTGGTTCCAAATTGGGAAAAAGGTATGTCAAGGCTATATATTGTCACCCTACTTATTTAACTTCTATGCAGAGTACATCATGCAAAATGCCAGGCTGGATGAAACACAAGCTGAAATCCAGATTGCAGGGAGAAATATCAATAACCTGAGATATGCAGATGACACTACCCTTATGGCAGAAAGCAAGAGGAACTTAATGAAGGTGAAAGTGGAGAGTGAAAAAGCTGGCTTAAAACTCAACATTCAAAAAATGAATATCATGGCATCCGGCCCCATCAATTCATAGCAAATAGATGGGGAAACAATGGAAACAGTGACAGACTTTATTTTGGTGGACTCCAAACTCACTGTGGACAGTGACCACTGCCATGAAATTAAAAGATGCTTGCTACTTAGAAGAAAAGCAATGACAAACCTAGGCAGCATATTAAAAAGCAGAGACATTATTTTGCCAACAAAGGTCCATATAGTCAAAGCTATGGCCAGTAGTCATGTACAGATGTCAGAGCTGGACAATAAAAAAGTCTAAGTATCGAAGAATTGATGCTTTTGAACGTGGTGTTGGAGAAGACTCTTGAGAGTCCCTTGGCAGCAACGAGATCAAACCAGTCAATCCTGAAGGAAATCAGTCCTGAATATTCATTGGAAGGACTGATGATGAAACTGAAGCTCCAATACTTTGGGCACCTGAATCAAAGGGCCAACTCACTGGAAAAGACCCTGATGCTGGAAAAAATTGAAGGCAGGAGGAGAACGGGACAACAGAGGATGAGATGGTTGGATGGCATCACCGACTCAATGGACATGAGTTTGAGCAAACTCTGGGAGAGGGTAAAAGACAGGAAAGCCTGGCATGCTACAGTCCATGGAGTCACAAAGAGTTAGACACAACTGATTGACTGAACAATAACAAATACTGCATTATATATATTTACACACTACATCTTTTTCCATTCCTCTGTGAATGCACATTTAGTTAGCTTCTGTGTCTTGGAGACTGTAAATAGTGCTACAGTGAATGTTGGGGTACATGTATCTTTTCAAATTATGGATATATGCCCAGGAGTGGGATTGCTGGATCACTTAGTAATTCTAGCTTTAGTTTTCTGAGGAACCTCCCTACTGTTTTCCACAGTGGCTGCACCAACTTACATTCCCACGAACAATGTAAGAAGCTTCCTTTTTCTCCACACCCTCTCCAGAACAAAATAAAAATTTTCAACATGCCTAACTACATAGGGACCTTCAGAATCTCACACCTGCTTAGAAAGCTGCTCCTCACACAACTTGTAGAGTGTGAAAAACTTCCTGGCCAAAACAATGTTGTCAATGAAGCCACAACTGGCCAGCTTCACCCTGATGATGATCTGCCGGTCAGGGACCATCATGGCCACGGAGCGGAAGTTAATCTTCAAGTTTTCAGGGAGTTCCTGCCGCCCAGCGTAGCCAGGATTCTGTACAGAAAATAAAACCGAAGGATGAATGATACAATCATGGGGTAGCAAGTACAGTATATCAGCATAATATTAAAAGATTTGTTATGCACACACAACAAATCCGGAATGACAGCTGGAAAATTCATTTATATATCTCACTCTCCTTTTAACTGGAGAGACTAAGTCATGAGTTATTAATATGAGTTCTGTTTATCACCAAAGGCTTTCAAATAGGAGGGAAAATGACAATCCCAATTCCCATTCATGGAAAATAAATGACAGGACAAGGGAGATACATGAAAACTGTGATAAGAAGGCTGAAGTTCAGTAGCTCTTCTTATGGTTCCTTACCATGGTTAGAAAAAGCCCAAATTCAGGGTTCATAGTTACATTATCTCCATCAGTAAAAATAAAAGATTTTTTACGCTCCTTTTTACATGTCAGAATAATGGAAATCTGCTGGGCTGCGACGGAGAGAACTGGTAGATCAATACGGTTAAATTCATCAAAACAACCCCAGGATCCAGACTGTGCCAGTCCTTAGAAGGGAAATTAAATAGAAAATCCAATTAGTACATCCAATTAGAAAGTCAAAGAAAAGAGCATTATGCAACTGCCAAGACAAGCCAGAGTTATATTTGTTCAAGCATAAAGTTGAACAAATAGATCATATATTAAGTGCCCCCAAAATAATTTGCAATGTAATACTTTTTCTGCAAACACCCAACCTGCGGGGATAAGGAACAGTACAAAGGCAAGTGATATTGACAGTCAACCCACACAACGCTAGAAAGATTCAGGTTTTTCAAAAGTTTTACAAAGTTGGAAAATGACACTAAAATGCAGCCAATTGTTGAAAAATAAGTCTTAACAAGATAGTCCACCTTAGTTTACGTTTTTTAGCAAATAAAAATATATAATCCTTACCTTTAAAAATCCGTCCAAGTCCTCGGAAATCCATCTGATCTGAACAATTGAAAACCACGACGTATTTCCCAAGGCACCGTCCCATATCTTTGGTAGTTTCTGTTTTGCCTGTTCCTGCAGGACCAGCAGGGGCACCCCCCATGTTCATGCCCAGAGCTTGAGCCAGTGTGATGTAACACCTGGAAGGATACAGGAATCACTAGAACCACACCACTGGCAGCTGAAAGAGGCCTCTGAGGCATCACAGACATGATATTCACACAAAATTTAAAAAGGAAAATCCTGCCCATTGTCGCTACTTAACCTTTCCAGAACCGCACCCTAAAGTATACTTATCCTTGGGTATATTAACGTGTGTTGAGGAAAAGGCAGTAGTCTAAGGTCAAACATATTTAAAAACTCTTAAAGATATTCAACAAGATTCCTTATGATAATGTATATTGACAATTTCCAGTTATGAAAAACAGTACATAGGATTTCCAAAACTTATTTGGCAACTTTTTAACAACTGCCTACCAACATCTAAACAAGAGTATTCTAACAAACAGGGCCTGGCTTCCCAGGTGTCTCAGAGGTAAAGAATCCACCTGCCAATGCAGGAGATAGGAGTTCAATCCTTGGGTGAAGAAGATCTCCTGGAGGAGGAAATGGTAACCCACTCCAGTACTCTCACCTGGAGATTCCATGGACAGAGGAGCCTGGTAGGCTACAGTCCATGGGGTCTCAAAGAGTCAGACATGACTGAGTGCACATGCACACACACACACACACACACACACACACCACACAAAGTAGATTAATCCCTTTTTGAATCTAAGAATTTACAATTTGACCAACATGGGAACCAATGATCACAGGAAATTTAAATCACACATTGCTAAATAATCACTCCTTAATTTATTTCTGGGAGCATCTACTAAACCTGCAAATATCTTCTGCTGTATCTTACAGTATGATATTAACAAACAAAAGATTCTGGTGAGAGAATCGAGAATGCCTGTGAAGGAAAGCAAAATAACTGATAACTTGCCAATGAATCCTTCAATTTCTCAGCATCATCCACTGCTATAAAAGGAGGTAATCTATAATATAAAGCATTTTAGGCCTTTCTGATGGCCAAACTCAAAAGCTTTCATCTGGACTTGAAAAAATTTTCAAAGAAAATAAAGTGATTGTCCAGCAATAAAGAATGGGAATGAGCAGTGAGCACACCCACTGGAAGCCCCTAGGGTCTCTACTTTATCTGATCTGGGTTCATAAAAAGACAAGTAAATGACTCAGTCCTGATGCAAAAAATGAGCCTGGATTCACAGAAGGTAATGTGGGTATAAAACCAGAAGGATGCCTGATCTCACTTTGATTCTGCCTTTCAACCCAAGATCTTATCTTTCCTCTTGAACTTTTGTTATCCCTTCAGAGCACTCTCTGTAATAACCGCTAACATGATGTTATAACAGCTCCGACTGTTAGGGGAAGCACACTGACTGAAACCACCCACACTGGCCAGGCACCACAGTAACCATTTTTGTGAGTTATTTTATGACAGGAGGTCCTGGTAAGGAACAGGGAATTAATAAGCCTCCACCAACCAGAAGAGTTAGAGAAAGGTCAAAAGGAGACACCACATGTCTGACCACCTCCCAGAATCCTCCTCACTGGAATCCATTTTGACCAAGCAATGTGGGCACCACCGGAAAGAACCCTGAGTCAGAATGATTGGCCAAAGACAACCCAAAAGCTAATCCCATCACCATAAAACAAGACTGTGAGCCACGAGGCAAAGCAGTTCTCCTAGGTTCCCTACTGCTCTCCGCCAGGTGTCCCGTCCCAGTAAAGTCTCTTACTTTGTCAGCATGTGTGTCTCCTCAGACAATTCATTTCCAAGTGCTAGACAAGAGCCTACTCTCAAGCCCTAGAAGGGGTTTCCCTTCCTACAACACAACTATACCATGTCATTCAAACCCCACTAAACCCTGTGGGGAAGTCAGTTGTGTTCCCCATTTTATAGATAAGGAGAAAGGCTCCCAGAGATGGAATACTTTTTCTCAGCATCACAGCAGTGGGGGAGCTGAGATTTGAGCCAGTTTTTGTGGGCATAAGCCCTCTTGCTGCCCACTTCTAGGACAGACCCACTCTCTCAGGGTAAGGAATAAATCTCCAGGAACTCTGGCCACCCGGATGCTCTGTCTTGTAAAGCCTCTTTATTATGGGATCATTCAGGTTTATATTTAAACTGAAGCAGTAGCAAGCTGTTAGGTTGTCAGAAGGAAATCATGCTGTTTACATAAAAAATGGGCAGCCATGCTAGGTGATTTCTCCAAAAGGGGGGACTTCAGTCCAAGTGATACTGAGCAGGACCCTGTGGGGTACTGTGCCCAAGAGCCTTTCTGTGTCCCCCTGTCTCGAATACAGGAAATAGGCTTCATTCAGCCTCCAAGACCTTCCCTGAGTTCCAAGGGGCAGATTCAAGCAGTTGTTAAACAGGGAAGGGATGGGGACAAAGAAGGAAGAGTCGAGAGCAACAGGCGTGCAACCTTGGGGCAGAGTCCTGGTTCCCTGGCAACAAAACCTGTTACATATTGTTACACATAACAATATCTTTGAGCTGTTTTGCAAATGTTAAAACCCCTACCAGGCAGAAGAAGATAAAACAGTATGCTGCCCACAAGCACAGAGCCCAGACCAGTTGAACCCAGAAGGTTCATGATGCTGACTTCCACTTATCTTGCCACCAACCAATGAGAAGAAGGTCTACAAACTGATGAGGATCTCTTTGAACCATGAATATAAAACTTCTTGCCAGCCCCTACAGGTTCAGGCACAGTTTTGAGGACATTAGCCTGCTGTGGCCCCCTTTGCTTGGCAAAGCAATAAAGCTATTCTTTTCTACTCATCCAAAATTCCACCTCTGAGAATTAATTAGGTGTTGGGGTATGGAGGCTGAATTTGGCTTCAGACCACTATGCTGGCACCCAAACCCTCTAGAACTTGCCTTTCAGAGGCAAGTGTGGATCTGTCAGAGGATCTTCATGTACCTGTTGACATGATTCTCCCCAGAGCATCCTACATGTATGCCTACCTCATCCCTCCCTCTGTGCTTTCCTATCTCTTTGGCTGATTTCAAAAATGTCATCATTCATGAATGGTTTTGGGCTTTTATATGGTCTAGTAGCTTTTAGCGTCCAGGCAGCACTAGCAATAAAAAGAATCTGCCTGCTAATGCAGGAGATGCAAGAGATGCAGGTTTGGCCCCTGGGTTGGGAAGATACCCTGGAGTAGGAGATGGCAACCTACTCCAGTATTCTTGCCTGGAGAATCCCGCGGACAGAGGAGCCTGGTGGGCTACAGTCCATGGGGTGGCAAAAAGTTGGATACGACTGAGCACAGAGAAATACATACACACACACAGCAACTCTACTACAGTTTCCTGCCTCCCTACTAGAGCACCATAAGGTCTCTGCTGTCAGGAACTACGTCTAGTTCACACTTTTACTCCGAGCTACTTGCCTAACCAGACACCTCGTATTCTACGAACATTTGTGAATAAATGGCTTGAACTGGTCCAGCCATATACTCATCTGCTTCCTTTTGTCCCAGTAGCTACTGGAATTAGAGGTGCAAAATGTGATCATGGCAGCAAATGAGCGATGATCAACCCCATGACTCAGGGCTCATTAGCACGCAATTGTCGTATTAAGTATTCATAGCTCTCTAGACACATTTCACCACACATAAACCAGAAGTGCTTTCAGCTCCTATTATTAAACAGTATTGATTCTAAAATGCTGAAAAACTTGCCAACACAACAAGCGTCCATGCAGCAGGAAGTCAATTTTCTTTTTTTGAAAACTTGGTTTAATTATAGACTCTTTACTTATAGGACATGCTTAAGGAGATATGAAAGTAAAGGTTCGCAAAGAATGTGTTATCAATGATTAACTAAATATGGAAAACACAACCCAATCAAAAAATGGACAGAAGACCTAAACAGACATTCTTTCAAAGAAGACATACAAAGGGCCAACAGGCACATGAAAAGATACAGCATCGAAACATGTATATTATCAAGGGTGAAACAGATCGCCAGCCCAGGTTGGATGCATGAGACAAGTGCTCGGGCCTGGTGCACTNTGCAGTAAGTCAGAGAAAGACAAATATTATAGTATATCACTTTTGTGGAATCTAAAAATAATACAACTGAATCTGTATGCAAAACAGAAATAGACTCACAGACATAGAAAACAAATGTATGGTAACCAAGGGGTAGAGAGAGGGAGGGACAAATTATGGGATTAACAGACACATGCTACTGTATATAAAATAGATAAGCCAAAAGTATTTACTGTATAGCACAGGGAACTATATTCAATATTTTGTAATAATCTATAATGGAATATAATCTGAAAAAAATAACTGAATACATTTGTTTGCACTTGAAACTAACACAATATTATAAATCGATTGTACACAAATTGTAAAAATTCTAAACAAAAAAGAAAAACAATAGTCATGGTAATATTATTAATGGTGATTTAGATTTACTCAGTGGCAGGCCCAGTGCTGGGTCCCAACCTACAGTACCTGCAGTCCACACAATGATTCCAAAAGAAGGGAATCAGAAAGGTTAGCTGTTCTGGCCAACATTACACAGTCCAGTGGCCAAGACCCAGATATAACTCAGAGAAGCTATGAGAATATGTCAGAGAAAGACACACATCATGAGGACTGTCTGCCTTTCTTAATAAGAAGACAAAATGCCTCCATCCGTCTTCAATCTCTGCTGCCCTCGGTCTTAAGTGACAGTGGTAGTAAGACTGCCTCCCGTCTTCTCGACTTGTGTTCAGAGGTGAAAAAAGGACTGCTCATGAAAAATAGCATGAGCGATTAGAAAAAGACACTGTATGCTTTTAGCATATTTATTGAATATTTTATCACCGGAAATATTTGCAACTCCATCCACATGACATCAGACTTCCCAGAGACAACTGCTATCAACATTGCTGAATTTTCACAGGGCAGTCAGTGAAAAGCTGAGAAGACATCAAAGCCTCTGGCCTTTGTCTTATTCAAGTATTAATCTTAGTGAGTAATTCTTTGTAAAAAGGCAGCCAATCTTGCAATGGACTTGCAAAGAGTAACTCA